TGCCTGTAATTCCGGCTACTTGGAAGGCTGAGGCGGAAGGATCGCCAGAGCCCAGCAGGTGGAGGCTGCGGTGGCCGAGAGTGGCCACTGCACTCCAGTCTGGGTGACAGAGTGAGACTCCACTCAAAAAAAAAAGAAAATATTTTCTTATCTGTGATAACCTGGGTGAATCTGGAGGACATCATAATAAGTAAAAAATGAAAAAAAAAGCCAAACTTACAGATGAAAAAGGTAGAATGGTGATTGCCAGCAACTAGTGGAGAGGAGTAGGAATGGGAAGATATTCTTCAAATGTTCCCACTCATAAGTGGACCTTGAACAACTCCCATAATACTATAACTAAAGGATTGACAGTAGCAGGAAACTTTGGGGGGGGGCAAGGAGTTGAGATTGACAGTAGTAGAAATCTGCTTGGGGAAGGGGGACACACTTCATTAAAAAGGGTACCTGCACAATGAATATTTGTATACCTAACCCTGAATTGTATCCCACAATTTTAAAATTTAAAAGAAAAATTGGTAAGATGTTTGATGATCTGAGATCTTACAACTTTTAAAAGTACACTAACAAAACATGGAAGTAAGAGCATGTTTATAAATATAAAACAGGATCTTGACTTTTTAAGCAATAAAAAAGTGAATTGATAGTTTTTTTGCAAAGTCAGTATTGTGTTCGATATATAAGTGAAAACAAGTCAAACTGTTTATGCTATGTTAACGTGCACTTAGAGTAAATATAGTAGGGTATCAGATGTTCCATTTCTAGTGTGGGAAATAATAGAGCCATGGAAAATATACATATGTGGTGTGTTAAAAATATTGCTTTTATGTGGTTTTTATATATCTTGAATATTATCTCTCTCTAGAAATACCTGCATTCCATGTTTTATATATTTCTTTTTTTTTTTTTTGAGTTGGAGTCTCACTCTGTCTCCCAGACTGGAGTTCAGTGGCCGCTCCCGGCCACCGCAGCCTCAACCTGCTGGGCTCCAGTGATCCTTCCGCCTCAGCCTTCCAAGTAGCTGGAACTACAGGCGCACGCTACTACGTCCGGCTAATTTTTTGATTTATTGTAGAGATGAGGTCTCGCCAAGTTGCCTAGGCGGGTCGTTTTATATATTTCTATGATCATGGATTTGCTTTTAAAGTCAGAGTCAGTCATATTAAAATTTATTTTTTTATATGTTTATTGGCTACTTTTATGTATTCTTTAAAAAAGTGTGTTCATTTTCTTTGCTCACTTTTTAATGGGGTTATTTGTGCTTTTCTTGTCAATTAATTTAAGTTCCTTATAAAATCTAGGTATTAGCCCTTCTTCAGATGCATAATTTACAACAATTTTCTCCCATTCCATAGGTTGTTCATTCTGCTGAAGGTTTCTTTTTTTTTTTTTTTTTTTGAGTTGGAGTCTCACTCTGTCACCCAGACTGGAGTGTAGTGTCCGCTCCTGGCTACCGCAGCCTTGACCTGCTGGGCTCTGGCGATCCTTCTGCCTCAGCCTTCCAAGTAGCTGGAACTACAGGCGTGCACTACTACCCCCGGCTAATTTTTGATTTATTGTAGAGATGAGGTCTCACCAAGTTGCCCAGGCAGGTCTTGAACCCGCAGGCTCAGGCAAGTCTCAGGCAATCCACTCACCTCAGCCTCCCAAAGGTATGGGATTACAGGCTGAGCCACTGAGCCTGGCTTTTTAAAAAAATTTTTATTATAAGGATGTGGGGTACGTTTCAGGGTTAGGTATACAAACATTATTTTTTAAAAAATTATTATAAAGACGAGGTCTCACCAAGTTGCCCAGACTAGTCTTGAACCCCTGGGCTCAGGCAATCCTCTCTCCTCAGCCTCCCAAAGTGCTGGGAGGTGTGAGCCACCACACCCAAGCTAAATGTTCTTGATTAATAAATGAAGTAAAATCGAAAGCTTATGGAAGAGATAGTGTTGGCAATCTTACTCTCTGGCATAGTGGTTGCTCGATACGTATGTCTCTTGTTGGTTTGCTTATCAAGAAAATTTTAGGCCTTTTGGAACTGGACTTCTGGGTTTTAGTGGCCAGGAGATTGAGGAGTGAAATTGAGTGTGAATTTTCTTTTGTGGTTGCGTTCTATACGTCAGATGACCCAAGTTCATGTAAGCTCTGATAAAGACACGTGGCTCTTATAGGAGTCTGCTAGCTTTTATAACCTGGTGAGATAGC